ATCACAGACACCTGCTGCAAATCATTTGGCCTCCATGAAGCTGACATTTGGCAAGCCAGCCAGGATTATGCAGAGGTAAATGGTGGTAAAAAAAGATGTGAATGACAGCAGAAGTAGGCCTATATGCACACAACTATAGTTGTGGTAAAAATTTTGTAGAGATTACAATCATGCTATATAACCATGTCAGCTGACATTGATAAATGGGTAGAGAGAGGAGAGTGACTTGGGCAACAAAGATAAAGATCTACTAGTTTGTTAAACAACAAAAAGAACCAGAGAAGAGAGGAAGAAGAAAAACAGAGACTGCAAATAGAGAGAATAAGAACACAGATTGATAAAGTTAGTGAAAGTAAAAGTGAAGTTTGACTGCAATTTTGTCTGTTTACCCATAATGGGCAATTTCTAAAGTGAAAGTATCCCAGCTTGTATTGTAACAACAGAGATAAAGAATAATAATTTGTCTTGTCATAAGGTGTTTTAAAGTATTTTAACCAGCCTGTGTTGACTTTGACAAAAATAAGACAATTATTTAAAACTCTGGATACAGCTGTGGTAACCAACAGTTACAGTGTTGATTTTGAAATGAGTTTCACAGCATGTATTGTAACAACAGAAATAGAGAAGAATAATTCATCTTGTCATGTGGGTTCTAAAGTAAATGAATCAGCATGTGTGGACTTTTGACGAAAAATATAATTATTTAAACCTCTGTATTGTGATAATAGAGGAGGGAAGAAATAATTCATCTTGCCAGTTTAGTTCTAATGCAATTGAACCAGTCTGTGTGGACTTTTGAAGAAAAAAGAGAATTATTTAAAGCTCTAGACTCAACTGGAATTATTTAAATGTTAGTTCTCATCCAGTTCTCTTGGGCATTCAAAAAGTACTGACTTTTTTTAGCATCCCAGCCATGTTGGTATTCTAGGTAACAAGCTTGTTGACACTATGGCAGAATCAGTGGACTTCAAGCCAGTTATCAAGGCAAAGCTTTATGCCAGTTGTTAATTAATTTGGTATAAGAAATGTCACAAATTTTTTCAGATAAAGCCTAATGTTGTTGTCTAGCTATCTTTTATGTGTAGGAACCAGAGAAAGGAAATTGTCGTGGCAAGGCATCTCACTGGCAACACTTTCCTTACTAATTACATTAACAAATGACTGATCCATCAGTGAGAGCTTTGTAACACTCAAGTCACAGTTGCCCAAGTTTTACCTTAGTGCCATCACTATGATTAATAACAGCAGCATCATGTTAGACATATTTTACCTATATGTTTGACTCTGACATTAGACAATGTCATTAGCAATGGTGACACTGTCCAGATTGATAGTGTTTTTACTTTTTGGGGGAGGATATAGGTCTTTTTAATTCTGTTTAATTTAATCTAACCTTTTTTAACAAAAAATAAAATAATAATATAAATAGATAAAATAAATCATTTTTGATCTGTATTATATTTTATACTTATTTTCCAGATAAATTAAATAGTTTTGTACAGATAGACCTGATGCTTTGTGCCATAAAGCCCCAGTAAGCAAACAACTTGCCCACCTGTTGCTCTAAGCATATCATTGATAATATTTATTTAAACCTTAGACCATGTTATGAATTAATTTTTGCACTTGGCCTGAGAAGATCGTGTCCATTTCTATTGTTAAACCTTTGAACTTTATAATTATGAACTTCTGCCGTTCGTCTGAAAATGAGCTAGTCAGATTATGCTATAGAATGACTGTAAATGGCAGTGGATCTCCTGCTGGGAATTCCATCAGTCAAATTTGTTGTAAATACAATCTTTACCGAGATTTCTTCTATGTAAAAAGCCCCAGCCAGTGCTATTAGAGACTTTATCCGCTCGGGGAGACATCAGGAGGTGATGACAGGGTAGATATAAATATTATTATTTCCCACCTGTGTACATATTAATTATCTGTATAACTACTGATGTTTTTAACTGTATTAATTGTATCTATGAATGGTACAAATAAATATATATATACATATATAGTGAAATGATATATGAACCACACATAAGAAAAATGCTCTTGGTCAACTTGATATAGAACTCAGCAAAACCTGAATATCTGTCTTTAAACCATAAAAATAGTTGGTGGAATGAGAGCAAGGACAAGAGGCCAGCAAACTTGCCTTTCTAACTAGAATATTTCAATCAAAGTCTGTCTCCTGCCACTATATACAGTGTGTCTCAGGACATCTTTGACAGTGGTAACAGCTAAGCTGAAATGTAGGAATAAATTAATTGGTAATTAGCATTTAATAATTGGTGATTGTAAAGGTATTAATCATGGTAATGAACTCGAAATGCTTGCCAAATTCGACATTAACTAAACTCCAGTTAGTTTTACAGCAGGCCTTAAAATTGCTTTAACAAACATAAAAGGGGTTAAACTCTTGTTACACAAGTTTATGGTATTTTACACTTCCTAATGTGGTGCCACTGTCACGATTCTTCAAGGTATGTAGGAAAATATTTTAAATAAAAAATGACTAGTTTCTAACTAAATAATTATCTTTGGACATTCCAAATTTAATTCCTTTTAATGATGTAGGTTTTACGAGTTTGTTTATCAGCCTCAAGTACACATACACCTTGATATCTATTTTGAGTTACTTACAGTAAAATGTTTAACATTTCTGGTGTTTTAATTTAATACTATATTCAAAACTATCATATACTTCTTTTTTTTTCAAAGTTTTTATACACAAAATATAAAAATATCAAATCATGCAGTTGAGCTTGATCACCACCAAGAACAACTTATGTAAGGTCTACATTTGTTGCTGATAACAGTATAATATCTTTCATAAAAAAAATTTATACAATTGTACAAACTGTTGCTAATCCAAAAAAAAGGGTTGCATAGCAACCTCACCTGAACACTTGCTGGAAATATTTTAAAAACAACAACAACCTAATAAGTTTGATTCAATTTTAACTCTATTATCCTTGTTTATTCCACACAGATGCTTTGTTTTGTTGTAATTTGAGTTGTTAGAAATGTACTAGGAATTGATAGTGGGTTAACACTTAGTGCAGCAGATAAAGCATTTGTTTGTGATGTGAACAGTTTCATGTTCAGTGCCTGCATGCAAGAGATGCAAAAATGGAAATTACCCCCATAAAAACTTTCCCCACATGCTCATTTTACCCTGAGATAAGACCTAATGACAGGTCTTGTTTGTGAGATGGGAAAAGTCTGGTTTATCAAGTTGCTAGAAAGTGCCTTATTAGCTGTTGCTAGCAAATTAATCTTTTAGTGTAAGCAGTCGTACGACACACTAAAACTAAAATTGTCACAGCTGGAATTCTTCATTCCTTGTGATCTGTAGAATATATTTCACTTTATTTATAAAAGCAATCTTGAAAATGGTATAAAAAACCATTAGCATTTTAGAGAAGTATGCTGGACATTTTTTACATGTTTTAAATATTGCAAGTATTCAGTGGAACCTTAAATTATATTAGTTGTAAATGACAGATGTATTCTATAATTTATTTAATTTGCATGGTACTTGGTAGTGAGTGTGTAATAACCTTAACTGTGAAAGCTACCAAATCGTAAACATGTTACTTAAATTCTCTAATTTTGAAAGCTATAGACTATATTGTTTTTTGTTTAAAGATGTGTTACAAACTTTTTTTTTAACTTGCATATTAATTTGAAATTAAAATCAATCAGCAAAAGTGTTTGTTTAAAAAGCATATTGGATTCAATGTACATGTAGTAATTTAAAGCAAAAAACAAAAATCATAATTTTAAGACTTCAGAAATTATAGTTTACAAACATCATAATTTGTTTGTTACACTTTGAATAGAAAGAAAATGATGGTGATAAACCTGATGTGTAGTTTTTATGTTATTTAAGTTAATGTTCAGGATTATGAAGTGGGGATTCTGTAGCCGTTTGCTAAGTTTGTAAACTTTATTTATTAATAGTAATCTGTTATTACATCAATGACAATTGATAAACAATCATGTTGAAAGGACATTCAAATAAATTGGCAACACAACTTTCTAATATTTTGAAATAGGCCAGCTACAAATATTTTTTTATATATTTTTCTATCAAAATGTAAACATAGGTAGGTAGAATCAATACTTTCTGTTTAATGTAAAATTTAGTGTTCACATTATTATTAAACTAGTGGTTTTATGTAAAATAAATGTAGTCATACTCAGTAAAAAATATACTTAATCACTTAATTTAGTGGAACATTTTTAGATATTCTGTATGTAATATAAACATTTTGGATATCTATGCAACCATTATGTGAGTGTTATTGGGCATGTAGCCTAGTTCATTACTATGTAGAGAAACGGTATGCTAATATGCATGTGGTAAACTTAAGAACTAGTGTCAGGAATGTTCTTTTTTTTAATTTAAACCTTAATGGTAATGACTTTTGTTATATTTTTGAAAGCTGTAGGATAGTGGGACATATTGACAATAGGTTGAGATAAACTTTTAAAACCTTAAAAATAGATAAACCATATTTTTTATTATGGTGTTACTTTTGTACACTTTTCATTACAGGCTTGCACCCTATCTCAGTTATATGTACAGTACTCACGGCTCCCCACTTAGAGAGCCATGTTTTGTAAACACTGCTCATGCGTATAGAAAGACTCATCTATAACCCCTTTGAATACTGTACAACACCAAGCTTGTGTCGTACTGCTTCAATTCTACCCATTGACCAGTCATTGATTTATTTATTTTAAAATGGTGAATATCGCTTGTTGGTTCAACTTTGCTGATTGTGTATTATGAGTGTGACTTAAGCAAGATAAAATAAAGGCAACAACATTTTGCATGTTAACTCTCAGCTGTATTATAATGAACAATTGACAAAAAGGTTTCAAAGACTTAATTTCTTTGTTCTAAGAAGAGGAAACCAGTTCGCGAAGTTTAAGCAAAAAACTTGTGAATTTTAAAGACTGGTCTCTTCTTGTGTGTTGTGTACTATAAACAGCTATGGTTAGTCGAAGCCAGCATGGATGACACGAAACTTCCCAAACCATCACCACTGCTTGCTCAGGTGAGCTTTGATCTAAATCCCTGAATAAATTTTTTATCATAGCTATTCCCACAGTATCAATCAAGCATCATAATAAAAACTAATGTAGTTAAAGAAGAAATTGTGTTAAAAATAGAGTGATGTGTGTGTGAATGACTTAACTATTATGTTTAGTTGTTCACACCTAACAAATTAATTGACATAGTATAAATTTTATAAAATTTGTATTTGTCTAAACATTCACCTTTTGTTTTAACACAGCATCATTTGACTAGGTAAACAACATTATTATTGTAAAAAACAAAACAATCATTAATGTACACATATGGGTTATTTTACAGTAACAATAATGACTTACTAATGAAGTACCTATTTTTCAATTTAAAATTGATCTAATACTATAGACATTATTAGATATTCTGGTATCTTGCAGGCTTAAATGTTGTATTTGACCTTATAGTGAATCACATTTCATCATACCATACATATATATATAGAGGGGCAGAAGGGAAATTGAAAAGGCTAAGCACCTTCATGAAGGGATGCAACATTGTAAACACGTGAAGTCTAATTTATGCAGTGCTATTCTTATCTTGTTAGGAAAGCCACTCCCAGCAATATGACATGAAAGGGTGGCTGCATGCCTGGGTTTTCTGACTGTGCTTTACAAAAAGACTCATGAAAGGGTGAGGCAAATACATGTATAGTGCCAGTATAAGCAAGCTTAGATGTCATGCAGAAATAGAATATTTGGAAGCTATCAGTATATTGTTGGACAGGAATTTAACATTGTAGTAAAGTTTTAATGCTTTTTTTTTTCTAAACTTGAAAATATTCTTGTACAAATACTGTATGTGTTAGAAATAAACTTAATTTATAAAAGTATATTGTTAGTAAAGTTTAATATCAAGAAATTAGAAAAATCTCGCAACACATTCTATACCAGCCTCACATATATACAGTTTAATACATTTTTACTAAATTTTCTTTTCAAATAATCTTATTTTAAAGCTGATTCCTAGATTATTTTCTTGACTGTAGAGGGGCATAGAGTAATTCTGGAATGTTATTCAATCCAAAGACATTTAGTTATAAGACTAGTTTTAAAGAGATGTTTTCTCCAATGTTTGTGCAACACTATATTTTTAGATCTCGCTTAAGGATAAAGATTTAGATTTTTCTTTTTTTTGTATTTGTAAATTTTGTATTTCAAACTTTGCAATTAAAAATTATTATTCAGTATGATATTTGCTAATATTTTTTATGTGGTTTAAACTAGATATATTTAGAACAATAGTATTTAAACACTACTTGTTTTTGTTTTTTATTAACTGTACACACACACACACACACACACACACACACATATATATATATATATATGTGATTGCTTGTGTATATAATATATACACACACACACATATCTGTCTGTTTGTCTAGTTAGGTATAGCATTTCTTAAGATTTGAGTATTGGACATACTTTCTACTGTTTTTCATACACTATAACATATTATTGAGAAGACAGATTTTGTTGCATAAAATTGGTTAGTAGTTTATCTAATCATAGATTAAGAATTGCTTTTTTGTAAACTGCTCATAACAAGTAATTAAATAGTGCATGCATTAGCCGAGAAAGGTGAATAATACAAGCAAGAACTGTTATGTCTCTCTCTCTGTGATGATTACAATCTACAAATTAATTAGTAGCACAAAAAAGTCACATTGCAAATTGCTGTACAATACTTATATCTTTATTTAAAAAGTATTAAATAATATATGTACTTTCAGTTTTATATGAAATCTTTTCAGATATATGGACAGGGCAACATACAAGAACATGTAACTGAAGTGAGGCTTTTTCATAGAAAAATATTTAATAGACATGTAACCACCACCTTCTTAATTAGTAGATTCTCTCAGTTAATCCTCTTCAATCAATATTGTACACATTAGACTAAAACATATTAATGTGTTTATGACTGTAGGGGGATGAGCAAAGAAGAGAGCTCTGATGTTAATTTATCGAAGAAATGTTTTTCAGTGATGTATTGGCTCCAGTTTCATATAAGCAATTTTCTCACCATCATGTAGTTGTAGGAGTTGTAATGCAATTTTACATTTTTAACACATTTTTGATGAATTACATACACTAAGTTGGAAAAAAAAACCCAGTAAACATTAACTTCATATCTCAAAAACATAAAAAGCAAATTTTAATGAAAGTACTTGAGATGTTGATCTATTTAAAGTTAATATTTATACAGAAAAGGAGTCCACATATCAAAATATTTGCAAATACTGGTTATAACATCAACTTTTTTGTAATGTGAGGTTATATGTTTCTTATACAGTACATGTATACTACTTTTGTGCAACACTTGTAAAATTGAAAAAAAAAAAGTGTACTGTCAGTAATAATTTTCAAAATCTTATATTGTATTGACATTGTTCTAGAAAAAAATTGTTTTGATTGGGCATTTATGTAACAGTTTTCTGACACATGAACAAAACTGAAACAGCTTTAAAAAAGAAGCCAGATTTACTTAAGGTTTACTGCATGCAAGAAATATATACATGTATATATGTGTGTGTCTACATAATATATATACACACACGTGAGTATGCAGTTTAAAGAACAGTGGACCTTTCCTACCTGCTAAATCTGTTACATACCAGGAAATTGACCAAATCACTGTGTGAGCAAACTCATAACAGGATCTTTTTTTTAACTGGGAAATTTATCAAGTTTGTTGATTTATTTACACTGTAGTCAGACTGTAGTTATTTTTAGATTGTTCTGGGTTGAATAATGAACACTTTGAAACAGGTGCAACCACCACACCAGGATGATCAACTTGGGGATTCCCCAAATATTTTTGTATTTATGTAGGTCTTTCTTCCTTGTTCACTTAATAGTATTCTTAAGCTGAGCTTGTATTGTGAACTAAATACACACATGACGTGTGTTTCAGTTGGAGTTTTTTGTTTGTTGTTGACCCTGTTTGTTATATTGCAGGTCTTGCACGTGGTTATAGGTCTAGTATGAATGTTGAATTCTTCATATACAAAGGGTATACCTAACTTTAACCCGTTATTTTTTATTGTACGTTTCCATGTCATACATATATATGTGGCACCTTTTCCACTTCTGTTTGTGAATGTGTGTTAGTATTATTAATAAAAAAATCAGTATTGTTAATGTCATATTTCGTTATCTGTTACCTGATATTAGGTTGTAATCAGAGATGACAACTGTGTTAGTAATTGGAAGCTTTGATCGTACTCATTATAATTACAGCCTTATGAATAGGATTTTTAGCATGTGTTATTTAATGTACATGTATGTTAGTTATGATGGTTTTGTTTTTATTGATTTTGATACAAATCAACCAAGAATCATATGTATTTTGATAGAGCTTATGAAACCATGGTTCTTAATCTTTACCTTTTTAACTATGCCTGTATAACATGAGCTGTTACTTTTAACAGAAAATATTTATCAAAGGTATGATTATTTATTGCAGTGGTTCCCAATTTGTCCACAGGGAGATTTAAGATAGTGGAGAAAAAAATGTGTTTTGAAACATAACAATGAAACTATATGGTTTTGCAACTTAATTTAAAAGTTAATACTGTACAAAGTGGTTTGTGAAATGTTGGGAGCGAAACTAGCTGGTTCTGAATTGGAAAAAAGTAGGGAACCATTGTTTTACTGTATTACATTTCTCAATTAATTATACCTAATTAATTTTTCAAATATAAATAGTTGAAAATGAACACATTCATTCACAAAACATTGTCTGATCACTTGTTTGAGCCTTTGGATGGATCACTGTCTTTGATCATTAACTTAAGGAAGGAGTGATTCAGTTACACATTTCTCTTAAGTAGGAGCTATGTTTAATATGCTATAGTTGTATTAACACAGTAGCCTTCTTTACAGATAGCACAATGTCTGACAAATAAACCAGGATGTTTTGTAATGGAAAAAATATAACTTGAATTATTGTATATATAAATATATATATATGTATAAAACACCATGTCTTTGACTCTTACAAATGCATTTGAATAATAGCAGAAATCTAAAGCATATGTAAACTTTGGGAAAATTGAAAAATATAGTTTAGAATTTTATATAACTCCAATTAAAATATATATCTATTTTCACTCAGTGCCCATTTTATAAAGTAATATTTAAGTGTTTAAGAATGGAGTTAGTAAACAGATTACTGTTACAAGTATTTATTTATAAATGGTTATTTAAGTTTAAAATAAAGGCATTTTTGAATAGACAAAACTAGTTTTAATACATTCTTCGTTTAATTTTATTGAAACAGAAATAGGTACTCCAAATACTTAGTTTTATGTATCTGTAATTGAAAAAGTGTTAATAAATCTAGAATGTGTGCTTAAATGTCATGGAAGTTTGCAAATGAAATCACGGTACCACGTTATCCACTTTCCGTTAGTTTTATTAGAACAGTCATAATTCAGAGGCTAAGATTGTTTTATGTATCTTTTATTTTCGTTTTACTTCCTTTTGCTATATTGTGTCGTGGACAGGTTATTAGTGTGCTCGACTCGTAAATATTCACAATCTGTGGGTCGCGAAATCGAAACCTGGCGCCGAACATGTACGCCCTTTCAATGGTGAGGCGTTATAATATCACGGTCAATCCAACTATTTGTTAATAAAGTGTAGCCCCACAGTTGCTGCTAGCTGGTTGCTTACCCTGTGGTCGCCAGTTAAAAGTTAGGAAAGGCGACTTATAGCCTTAGTAAATTTGCCGGAAACAAACAAATCTTGCTGTACAAGTTTTTTTCTTTTCGTTCTTTTTGAATTCTAAATTTTCACATTTTTCATTAATTATACATGTCATAAAACATTTTTATTAGGCCTATTGTATTCTTTTACCACCACATTACTTATTTAGTTCCTTTTAGTTTTTGAAAGAAGAAGTGTGTATTTCAACGACACTATGTCTAATAATCTTTGCCGATGACGCCTTTTACATAAT